TATTTTGGGGCCCAATGGCATCATGTGACAGATGTATTTATACTGTTAAGCCATGACAAAAATTAGCTCCCTGAGGGCCCGGCGCAGACGTCACCAGCGCAAGATGGCAGCAGCCGTATCTGGGATATTTTGGTGTCATATTTATGTGTGTAAATAAGCAACTGTTTGCTAACATGTCTGCCGTAACAGCAAAAAAAAGGTCAATGTTAGTGTAATGTTTACGGGCTGCTGCCCCCAAGTGGCCAGAAAATCTGTTTCAAACCTGACTTCTTTCAGACCCTAACCAAGGAAACAATAGGGTATGGCAGAGATCGTTTTATTTGATAAGTGCTGAAAGCCACCACATGGTCAACTACAAATAAGCCTCCTCCACAGTCTGCATAACTAAAAACATTCACATACTCATTCCTGGTCGCACAGCCAGCAGTAAATTCACAATACAAGAGAAGATGAAAGGTACGCTTGATGAAAGGGTACATGAATAGAAATGAAGGTTATCCATTCTGCCTTATTAAAGTTGACCGAGACATTTGCTAACAGCCGGGCTGCCACGTACAGTAGGTCATGGTAAAGTAGGTAATTGAAGGGTGTGTAAATGCTACAGTTCGCATACGTGCCTCTGTATCCCCTCTAAAATATAATATAAAGGATAGATAAATAGATGACTCTCAAAAAAGCATGCCTCAGCAAAGTGGTAAGAACACATTGATCCCAGCGCTAAACTTAAAAGCACACAAATTATGGAAGGGTTTTAGCATGGATTACCAGAGTTTGTATTCATGCATACTTTGCTACGTGTGTTGATTTTTTAGCAGCAAACTGATTGTTGCATGACTAAAAGGATACTATGGTTTGTTTACGTAGGCTGAAACTGAGACTGCAGTGGTTGGAGCGATCCAAAGAAAAGGCATGAGTTCAGAGCAATGGATCAGAGCATGTAGACAGAGTTATGCAACAAACTGTATACATTTTTCTGCTAACAACAGACCACATAAATGTGTCCTTTTCTTATTTTAAGCCAACAGTATTTCATTATTTCAGCAATTTCTCAGCATCTGTGGTTCTTTTTTTAGCCATTTCTCCACTCCACACTGTCATTGTAGGAAAATTTGGACAAGCAAATTGTGGGATGGGATGTAAACAAGCAATATTAGATAATTTGACACATGGAAGGATGGCAGTGCCAAGTGAGCGGCCGGCCCGACAGTGTAGCAATATTTCTGCCATGGTCAGTTGAAGGACAATGTGTAAACAACAATGGCGTGTGCCTGCCAGGCAGACTGGATCAGAATCTGTCTGTGGAATCGGGGTCGGTATTCTGGTCTGTGAGGAGAGATGAGCTGCCAATATGAGAACTGATGCCAGAGCCGGTGGTTATGGGGTGCGGATGGGGACGGATCACAAGAGACAGACAACAGATAGTCTGTGAAAGCATTTTGTACCCTACCCAGAGGGATCATGGGCTCATGAAGGAGGAAGGAAGGAAGAAGCAGGGGGACTACACAAACTCATGAGCTCTTGACTCACTCACACACCCTCACACAGACGCTGTGGACTCACAAGTCATCTGCTTGGTTACAGAGGAGGTTTAATGTGCGTGTTAGAGGGAGAGTGACAGACTGAGACAGTAACAGAGATGCAACAGGACATCAAGTCTCCTCCTTTTGCTAATTATCAGCTCTGACTAAACTCTTCAAAGTGTGAATGATGGAAATATGTGACGCCCACTTAGGAACGCATTGCATTTGGCTCTTTTGAACACTTACTGGTGTGACCCAGATGTCTCTTCTGTACCTTCAGGCTCATCTCCACACCCCGACCTTCGAGGCCCGTCAGTGCCCAGCTCTCCATCCTGTACACCCAACACCCCCACGATGCTTTGCAGCGGCAACTCCGAGCCCAACCTCAACACACCCATGAACATCAACCTCAACTCGAGCCTCAACTCCAGCTACTACACCGTCTTTTCCTCCTCCACAGGTTTGTCCAAGTGCTCCAGTTTACTCCTTTATCTTCTCTCTATCTTTTTTCCCTGTGCATTAGTATTTCCTGTCCAGATGCGTTTTTTTTCTTTTCTTTCATTTATGAAACTGATTAAAAATGTAGACATTCAGGACAGCAATAAAACAGTCGGCAGCACACAAACACTGACTGAACCGCAAGCACCAAGACAAGAAGACAAGAAGCACGTGTTTACCTTGGTGATGTGAAGCAGTGATCCCCGACATCACTGCTGTCCCAAGCTGCAGAGAGCATGACGTGGAAACTCCTGGCAGATAATGGCAGCATATGGAGCTTCATTAGCAGAGAAAAAGAGTGGGAGGGGTATTTAAATTTTAAATAAAACGTGTGTTGGATATAGGCAACACATGCAAAATAGATTCTTAGTGCCTTGTCACGCTGTGTATCACGAGTGTAATGTATGTGGTGTTCCCGTTGTAAAGAATTGAGTTTTCAGGAGAAGCCTATTTTTTGCTTGTCAAGATGAAGCTGTAGCTGCACTTGTCATCTTTCACGTGTCGTTGTTGCTCTGGTACCTGTGCTGGTAGACTAGAACACTTGTAGACAGATGCGCTGCCCAGTCAGGCCTGGAAGAATTGCATCCCAGGCATATACGATACTAGAAAAAACACAAGTACCACCATGTCTTCTGAACTTTGGTATCGACTTGGTACCTAAGTATCGCTTTCCTAGTTAGATATATGTGTCACATATAAGCATAGCAATGCCACTACTTGAAGGGTTTTGTTTTCCTCTTTTGTTTTCTGTCTCACACTCACTCACACATCTCTAATGTCTTTCTTCTCATCACCTCAGGTACAACCCCAAGCTCTCCATTCTCCAGCCACCCAGAGTCCCCCACTTTCCCGTCCTGCTCGGGCTCGTGGAGCGATGAATGCACCATTTGCTACGAAAACGTGGTGGACACGGTCCTCTACGCCTGCGGACACATGTGTCTCTGCTACGCCTGTGGCCTCAAACTCAAGAAGATGGCCAATGCGTGCTGCCCCATCTGCAGGAGGACAATCAAAGATATCATCAAGACCTACCGGAGCACGTAGGCTTGTGTTAGATGATGTAATTGCATCGTCAGGTTCAGCTCAAGAGGTTTGTCAAAGCCATGTAGACTTAGTAACGACGGACACAGCACAACTGAAAGCCCCACTTGTTTGTGTGTGCAATCTGGCTCAGGTACTCTACAGCAGGACTTTAACCTCCATCATTAAACATTTTATCTATGTTTTGTCTAATGCACATTCTTGGAGAGCTCACAGTTCTGACCTGTGAGCTCTCAGTAAGATTCAACATACAATGTGATCAACAGAGACAAAGTATGTGCTACTGCAGGAACTGCAGACAGGACCGTGACCTACTATTGTCCAGCGACTCTGTGATGTGTGCATCTGTAGAAGAGAAAGAGTAATCTGAGGAGGCATGTGTCCTACTTCCTACAGAGTATCCCTTCGTTCTGCTGGTGATAGCGTGGCTGCTAGCTAGTTTTACAAGAAGTGAAATTGTCCAGAGCTGCGGAAGAAACAAGGAGAATAAATATGTGGTTTCACCAGCTGCTCCTCCGCTGCTTGTCAGAGTGCATTGGGTTTAAAAGTGTTGTTTTAGAGTAAGAATCAGTTCTCTACTGAATCTTAGCAAAAATCAACACGAGATCGTTTCATTTGACATTTCCCGAATATTTCCAGAGGCCAGTGAGGAATGAGTAAAAAGAAAAAGAGTTTTCGTGATGAGAACTTTGCAGCCCTTCTAAAATGAGCTGTATTTTGAATGCATAGAGGAAAAATACTCCTCCTGCAATAAAACACAACAGAATGCCTAAATCTAAAGGGTAAAGAATAAATAAGTAAAATGTTTTGTCTGATATCTCACTTCCTGCTGTGCTTCTGTGAATTTCAGGCCAGGCGAGATTGTGCGAAGGGTGAAAAAAGTGTGAACGTTGTCACCATAGAAGGTCACGCTCACGGTGAATGAGGATGTAAATCATTGAAGGGGGAGCGAGGCAGGAGGTAGGCGAGAGGATGTTGTATGTTTGGGACAGAGACAGCAGAGGAAGGGGTACCTTTGTGGTGTGGGTCTGCACATCGTTTTTGGCGCAAAGAAAGTGTTTACTCACTCAGGCACACCCCATACATCAGAAGTTTGTATGAAAGCCTGTAAGATGTGGGACTTGTATGAGTTGCACGTCCTGCTTCCCGGCGGCCGCCCCCGCCGTCTCTGGCTGTTCAGTAAGCCGGCTGGATGCTGTGATTGGACTAAAGTCATCCAAATAAACATTGGTGGGCAGTGAGGTATTTTTAAAATGCTGAACGAGCACATAAAGGATGACGAATCAAGCTCTTCATCATCGCAAGAAACACATTAACCCACTATAAGTCAGAGATGGCTTTGCTTACTTCAGGTTACACACTTCTCTTTCATATGTACATTAAAAATAAAAATATTTGCTTTCAGTGATGTGTTTCAGCACCCTGTCTTCAAGTGGAAAAAAATCACACGAGTGCAGTCGGTGACAAGGGTGTAGCTTGTTATTGTGAGACATTGTGAGAATTTAATTTGCATATCAGTTTCTGAGTGCTGCTCTCTCGTCTGTAAAAGCAAACTCCAAGGACATTTTCACTCGACTAATCTCATGCATTATGTACTGCTTTGAATTGTTGAGAAATACAAGCTATTTTCAGGTGTTACTTTGGCCTCGCTGAAACATTACGCAGTAATTTGTAAAGTGCTGATTTGTTTTCTTTTCAAGGTGTTGAAGCGTGTCATCTCGCCGCTGTGGAGGGAAAATTAGCGGTTATGTTTAACATTTGAGTCACAGTTACGTTTTCTTGTGTGCCTTTAAAAAGAGAAGTCTGGACAAGCTTTTGGTCTGTCGGGCTCCTCACTGTGAAAACCAGGAAGTTCATCTTAATTTCATCTTAAAGTCACTATTTCGTGGTCTCTGATGTGAGGAGGTGTAACCACACAATCTAGCGATACAAACATTTCAGTGTGCTTAATATCAGTGTGTGACTTTATTCACTGCTAAAGATGAAATGTTTAAATATCGCCTTGTCCCCTCTCTGTCACTGCATTGCATTATACTGGAATTTTGTTGTTGCTTGAGAGACGCTCAGCCTTTTACATTTCTACCTGTTTTTGTTTTTCCTTCCTGACCAAATATGACCTACCAGAAATAAACCATTTGTGAAACATTTTTGATAGAAAAGCGGTATTGATGAGTGTAATATCAACTGTACATTATGAGGTTTATTTATTTTGTCAATGCTACTATAAAGAATTATCATTGTTTGTTTTATATGTATGGCTATAGTGTCCAAAATGAAAATATATTGTTTATTTTGTTGTTGCATAGGATTATAGGAAACTCTTTCCCCAGTGAAAGGCTCTGTGGATCTGTCCGCTGGTTTTCTCTCAAAGGAATGGTTTGACATTTTTGGAAATACGCGTATCATAGATGAGAATAACAATAATAATGATAATGCATCTTATTTATAGGCGCCTTTCAAAGCACTCAAGGACACCTTACAAGACAGAAAAATGCAGCAATGTATCCATACATCATAAAATCAATCATTTCAGTAATATACATTAAAGGTTAATAAAATGACTAGAAAATAAAATCATTATAATTATCCTAAATATAAATATTAGGCATAAAATTGGCATCAGTGCAAGTCTCAATATGTGTGTCACCATAAATCAGACCAAATATGCCAGCTTGATGGGATTTTAAAGTGGATGCCACTCACATTTACTCAAGTACTGTAATTATGTACAATTTTGAGGGACTTGTATTTCCAAATTATACTACTTTATAATAGTACTACTTATAGTTTTTTATTCCCCTACACTTATCTGACAGCTGTCGTTACTTTGCAGATTAAAATTTTACACCCAACACACATCTTATAAAATGTGACACACTGTTATAGAATACAGTACCCAAAATAATACAGTGATTAAAATGATCTTTGACCCTGCTAAAACATTGAAATGCTGCACCAGTAAAAATGATCGCAATATTGTATATAATAATATAACACTGACGGTAGTACTTTCACTTTTGATACTTCAGGACAAGTAAGTGCTGTGTGTACTTTTATTTAAGCAAATTCTGGATGCATACTTGCAGTGGAGTATTGTGACACTGTGTTATCGTGTAAATTATACGGTACTGTGCGACTATAAAATAACAATGTATCAAATGACCATGTAAAAAGTGAGACAAAAGTGTGAAAAAGGTCATTGGTACTGATGAATCTGCCGAGAATGATCACCCGACACGGCAGACAGACACTAGCTGGGCAACGTAGTGGAGCGTTTGGTTGGTCTTTGTGGTATTTGTCACGCCCCTCCTTCACTGTGATTGGATGGCTGAATAACCTGTAGTTGAATGTCTTTCAACTCCTGGCTATCAGAAGAAAAAAAACAACACCAAACATGCAATGCTCAGCACGAAAAAGATGCTCAGCGTGTTGTCGTCACGTCGCCGGCGTAGCGTCAATATGCAGCAATCCTATTGCAAAGAATTAAAGAAATATACTGGCCTCAAAATAAATTAATAAATCCTTGGTGGACACGGCCCCTTGGGCAGCTAAAGAGCCAGATATTTCCCTCAGGAGTTGGTGGAGAACAAAAACAGAGTTTAAATTTGAAGCTAAATTCAGCAGCCAGCTAACTTAAAGTAGCATAAAGACTGGAGACAGTTAGCCTGGCTATTGTCCAGGTAACAAAATCCACCTACCAGCACCAAAAGCTCACAACACCCTGGAGTCTCCACTGGTGTTTGCCAAAAAAAATAGTCTGTCCAAGTCTAACACATAACCCCCCTTAAAACAGCGACTTTTTTAAACATGCAATGTGTAATTTTGTGACCATGATGACTTTATAAAACAGATACAACACACAGTGTATATTCCATGCAGTGTTTGGCAGGTGGATGCATTCAATTAATGAATTCTGAATTATGAGTTATGGCTGGTCAAAGTAATTGATTCAGGACTTTAGGATGGCCTGAGGGAATATTTTTATACAACTCCTCACCAGAAAGCAAATGAGCCTATTTCCCAAGATGTCAAACATTTTCTTAAATGCCATATACTGAATCGTGCTATTTAAAGGGACTAAATGTGTAGTTGGTGAAATGATGTTTGTCCTATTTGTGCATATTTAAATTCTATCTTGAGGCGTGAACACACTTCTGACAGCCTGTTTTTCAAATGTGACCAAATATTTGCAGTCCAACCAAAACAAAACCAGCAAGTAAGTGAAGGCAGACATTGTGCATTTTGGACAAGAGAATCAGCTCATAACTCGGGTTTCCTGGACTTGGGATTTCTATCAGTCATTTAAAAACATTCTTAAGGTGTTTTGATTATGTTAAGTTTGTTAAATAAAGTTTAAGTCTGAATCACTGGCTTTATTTCTTATTTATGACATTTTAAAAAGGTACATTTTGAGCCCATGCAGCTGTTCTTTCTGTGCAAGAGAAAGCCTGTCCCCACTTTGACTCAAATTGCAATAAAAAGTTAAAGCTGACCATTTCCATTTCACAGCTACAGTCCTTATTATGTTTTATGCACAGCAGGAAACAAGTCAATCTGGCACAAAAGATGGGGAATGAGAGAGCATTAGTGCTATTACCTATTCCCAAAGCGCGCATTATACAAACGGTTGATACAACATATTGTAGTACAAGAAAATTCAAATTAGGGAACAGTTAGAGAACAAAAAAGGCAGCCATCTTTCAGACGCCGTACACAATCCCTCGCCACAGTCAGTAGTATACTTGACTAACACCCCTCCATATACTATATGAATAACAAAGGCAAGGGCTTTTAGTAAACAGCTATAACTCACAGAGAAACTGTTTAGAGTCGTGGTATGTAGACCTGGCCAGAGTGAACATCATCTGTTATTTACTACCCTGCGGGCCTGGCTCTAATGCAGCACTGTTTTATGCTGCACTCCAATAGGCACAAATACAGCCCATGACGTCCGGACATGAAACAGGCAGCAGAGGCTGCCGTTCATGGCCAAGTGTTCTCAGAGGTGAGAGGGAAATACACAGCCAGGATCTGTGACAGTGACACGAATACAGTATATCTCACTGGTGTCTGTGTACACACAGACTTTCCACTCAGACCTCTCAGTGAACCTGGCTGACGGCCTTCTGAAGGCTTAAGGGCTTGGCAGACTTGTTTGAGCTGTGTTGTGGTATCTCTTCGAGACAGTTGTTTGGTCAAACACACACGCCGTCTATTAAGGTATCAAATTTGTATTCCAAAAAAGCACAACGCTATCGATTTTGAATTTCAACTAGACATCAGACAGTTGGAGTTTGAGTTTGTTCCTCTGTTGTAGTTAAGGCTTTAAGCTCTCTGTGTTCAGCGTGATGTAAAATCCTTTCCTCAGTGAGATTTGCAGCGTCCAGGGACACACTGTGAGGAGAAGTGCAATTATATTTAAAAAGTACAACTTTGTTCATAGTGCAAAATATCAGTTGAGAAGTCTCACCCCTGCGTTATCTAATTACTGTGCTGATGAAGACAGAGGTGAAGGTTATTGTGATGCTGTGCTCAGTCTGCAGTGAGAGGCTGAGTGCTGCTGCCCTCCAGAGGCCAGAAACAGCTACAGCACCTTCAGCAGAGCACAGAGGAAACCTTCAAAGACAAAACTACCAGCTATGACGGATGAAATCAGAAAAGTGTTCAGTGAATGTGATAGCATAGACATAGATTTCGCCAAGAAAACAGGGGACACGTCCATCTCAATATTTAGAACATTTGCATTCATCCCCCACATCATAACAAAGTAGCAGAGGGCTTTTGTTTTGGCAAAATTTAAAAAATGTACAACCTGAGCTGAGCACAAACTGGTAAAATATTCACCAGAATGCAGGAAATTAGGCGTCTAATGCTGAAAATTTCCTGGCACAGCACTCCTACACCACCTGTTCCATACATGTTCCCACCAATGTTGAAACAAAACTTAAGCCCTTGTTGGATAGGATGCACCTTTAAACCGCCCACTCAACATCCAATCCATTTCTATATTTTATAAATGCTAATGACATAGACTATGAGTTGAAATAATACACAAAAACCTTTAGACTTAGAAACAGGCTATATTTTTCTACTTTGTATATTCAAACTTTTTGCCTGTTCCCTAATAGCATACACTACATCGATTTGCAGAGGTGTGGACTCAAGTCACATGACTTAGACTCGAGTCACAAATTTGATTACTTTAGACTCAACTTGACAAAATGAAAAAAGACTTGAAATTCAACTTGGACTTTAACACCAATGACTCACTTCAACTTGAGCCCTTTGACTTGAAAGTAGTTAAAGGCTCTCTAAGTCTTCCTAAGCTTGAAAAGTTTTTGTCACATACAGCAATCTCCTCACGATCCGCTAGCTACATGTCCTCTGAATATGCTATGAAAAAGTCCAGTCTCTGTAGGCAGCCCAGGCTCTGCAAATGGCAACATTTGGGTCCAGGCTGCACCAACCAGCCAGCGTGACACCAGCGAAAGCAAGCGCGCACACGTGACTGCAGTGCCCAGAGAGGCAGTTAGAGCTACAGGCTACAATGAGGCTAAAAGGCAAGCGAGCTCCGTTGTGTTTGATAACATTGTTGAACGTAAACAGAAGTGAAGTGTTTTTGTTGCCATTTGCAGAGCCTGGGCTGCCTACAGAGACTGGAATTTTTCACAGCATATTCAGAGGACATGTAGCTAGCGGATCATGAGGAGAGGTTTGCTGTATGTGACAAAAACTTTTCAAGCTTAGGAAGACTTAGAGATTCTTTAATACCTTCCCCCAAAACAGATTAAAAATTATGTTATTCGAAAAGTGTGCCACGATAATGATGATGATGATTAATTCATTTCCTTTATTTCCTCATTATTTTCTCATTTCCTCAACTAACCTTAATACGATTCAATTCCAGAAAGTTGATATTTAATTTCCCAGATGATCCACTTTGTTTGGACCAATCCGGCAGTCCCCAGTCGAGTCGCAGGAGAGAACCCTGAACAACTAACGTTATGTTACTGAGTGCCAGCTGGAAAAAATGACACCAAAAATAATTTCATTCATGTTCAAAAAATACTTGGTGGTCAACAAAAAATGAATTACAGTATGCAAAATGTGCAGGTTGAAAATTACAAATGGAGGTAAAACTTCCAACTTCATTAGGCATTTGAAGCTGCACAAAGAACAGCTGAGTTTTCAACAAACTTGTTTTGACAAACAAATACAAATCATTCATGACTTCTGCAAATTTAATTTCATTTGACTTGTTTAGAAGTCAAAACTCAAAGTTTAGGACTTGAGACTTGACTTGAGTGCAAAGACTTACGACTTACAGGGTTCCCACATATTTCCATGGACAAAACTTTTTTCAAGACTTTTCAAGGACCCATAAAGGTTTTTTTTCTTGCCCCACTTGCCCAGCGTTCACACACACAATTTCAGCTAGCTGGCAAACAGGAAGGAAGAGACGTACTCAGGGAGAAAATGACGAAACGTACGCGATGGTAAACAAAAGGTCAAACACCAGTGCATATTAGAGCTATGTTACATTTACAGCTACAGAAACTTAATGTGCTGTTGATCTTACATTACGTGGACGGCTATCTATGAAATCCAATGACTTTTCCAGGTTTTCCATGACCATGGGAACCCTGATCTTGCAAAACGATGACTCAGTCCACCTCTGTCAATTGGACAGAGGACTCACAGTCTACATACTACTGTCGCTTTTTTCCCCAGAGTTTTAAATCACATCTAATGTTGTGGCTGACAGCTACCATTTCTAAGGTCAAGAGTGAAATTCAACATTCAGTATGCATTACATTCTTAGTTTTAGTTGTCACCATAAAATACAGCAACCTGTGACACAATGACTGACACACCGCCTTCCCATCTCAGGTTATGAGCCTCTTGGGATTTCTTTATCTCACCTGCATCATCTTATATTTCCTTTTTCTTCCATATCTAACTCCTGTGATTTATCATTTGCAATAAACACATACTCCACACATGAGTACCGGCAGCCAAGCAAATACAGACACACAGCCAGCAGACAAACATGGTATAAAGATGATCAACGGGCACCCATAACTTAGTTCCAAGCCAGTGAGTGTGGTATGAGATCCCAATGGAGGAAACAGCCAGCGGGATGGACATATTTCACATTAAATTCCTGTAGGGTGTAAATCTTATTATATTTCAAGCACCAAATCCAATATATCAGCAATATGCAGCTTCTGATGCTGAAACTGCATCAGAGTTTTGATTTGGTGTTTCTCTGATTATAGCTGAAGGTGACAATATTGTAGCCTACAATTCCGCAATGGATACTTAAGCCTCTGCTTTGTCAGTTGATGCTATATTAAGCAGCCTAGTGACCACAGAATGAAAGCTGTCTACACCACAGTCACACATGCAGGTTCCTCTGAAGCAGAGGAGGCCAATCAAAGTGAACTGCGCCGCTATCTGGCTCATTGCTATGTATAAGAACTGAAAGGGGTGTCAGGCAACCAAGTGTGATGTAATTTATTTGCATAACAGCATCCAGCTGGTCAAACACTTGAGCTGTATTGCATATGCACAGATGTGAGTTTACACTGGATATAAACACATTCAATATTGAGACCATCTACTTCCTCCTATGCAGAAAGCTTTTAATGCAACACAACCGAGAGGCTTAACATCAGCGGTGATTATGGCCTGTGATAAGTTTTCATTATAGTGTTTATTATACGCCACATTAATTTGCAATTAATTCAGCAGATGATTAGTACTCCCTTCTCACATGACTTTCATAAACAGTAGTGCCACACAAAACTCCACATGTGGAGCATTAAAGTCCAATTAAAAACCCTTTTATTTGACTGCAACAGCATAAACGTGTGCTCTGTAAATCACTTGTCCTGTGTTCACCTTTGAGACATTAATCAGGAACCAAGAGGAACACACTCAGGCCTGTATATTTAGATTTCATGATTGCTACGCAAGAGCTACAAACTGAACAGCAACCAACATTAACTTCCCTGCTAAATTCTCCTTCATAACTTACAAACACTGACACACACTCACAGGTAAAAGTGCACTGCTTGCATCAGTCTGCAGGCCATATTATTAGCACATTAGCTGCTCAGCTGAAGCACATTAAACAGCATGTAAACTAACTTGCATAAGTCACTTGGGTCCATTTAGATGCTGGTGTGGTTCTTACTCTTCAATATAACTAGCAGCATGCTGTCTGCCCAGGATATGTAAATACATATATGTAGACCACAGAGCAAATTTGTTCACTTTGTTGTTGACTTTGCTGTTAATCAAACAAATACACGCACCTCTAGAGTTGTCAAAGCTGACATTATGTTTGACTACACTTGGG